TCATAATGCTACATATTTTTTCTTAACATTCTAATCATAATGCATCTAATAATTATTGTGATGGCTTCTTCTTCACTGTTATACAGTTAAAATTGCATCCAAATTGGAGTTTTAAACTCAAGGAAAATTAAGTATATGGAGTTTTGTTTATGGTATAACTGAAAGGTAACTGGTATATTTTATACCGGTAAATAGCAAAATGAGTGGTAACTGAGATTAACCTAGTAACTTTTTAAAAAATTGAAAATATGGCCTAAGAACATTTAATATGCTTCCACTTACTCTCTTGAAGAAAATACTGAGTGGGTTCCATTAAAAGATATCAGTGATACTGACAAAGAAATGTACCTTATAATTTTACTTTAAAGCTTTATTGCTTTCATTGTTTTAAACTCTTCATTGGTCAAAATTACTTCAGTGTAGTTGCAATAAGTTCCTAGATTAAACTGGATTTAGATTCATTTTATTGAATTTAGATTCATTTTGTGAACAAACTGTTTGCAGTTCACTTTGCATTGTGCCCTGTCATCTTAAGGAACTTATACTAAGTCATAGATATTTTTTCCCCATTACTTGAAAAAGAGAATAAAAATTAAAAATGACCTTATATAAATCATCTTTCATAAAGTACCAGTCTCACTTAAGTCAAACTTGATGGATATGGAGAAAGTTGTGGTTTGATAAAACATATATGCAGCCTCCTTCTGATTATTAATGATGTGATGAATTCAACTAGCTAAATGACAATTTTAGTTAATTGTACTTTGCATTGCAAAAACAATGCTTCTTTATCTGATACAGATTTGTGGTGGTGACAAACCATTTTTAGCCCCTACTGACCTGCAGACCAAACATCTGGAGCTTAAGGAAGAATCTGTAAAACTGTTCCGAGGGGTGAAGAAGATGGGTGGGGAGGAATTTAGTCGGCGTTACCTGCAGCAGTTGGAGAGTGAAATCGATGAACTTTACATCCAGTATATCAAGCACAATGATAGCAAAAATATCTTCCATGCAGCTCGTACTCCAGCCACACTGTTTGTTGTCATCTTTATCACATATGTGATTGCTGGTGTGACTGGGTTCATTGGTTTGGACATCATAGCTAGCCTATGCAACATGATAATGGGACTGACCCTTATCACGCTGTGCACCTGGGCATACATCCGGTACTCTGGAGAATACCGAGAGCTGGGAGCTGTAATAGACCAGGTGGCTGCAGCCTTGTGGGACCAGGTAGGAATGTTTTCTGTTCAATTAAATTTAGCACACATTTGAATGGTCTGTACCACATACTGTGTTAGATCCTAGAAAAATACAAATGAACATGCTCCTGATCCAGTCTTCAGTAACCTCAGAATGTTTTAAGCTGGCCAGATACAGTTAGCCATAACATGTGAAGTTTTGCACAGCTATTTTTTAGTTAATATTTCAGAGTTTTCCAAAATGCATTAAATATGCTTTTACTTCTTCATATTCTAAAAGCTAAAGTTGCTTAGTATGAAAAATCAGTTTTATTGAGCTCACTATGATTTGATCATGCGTTAACATTTACTTCATACTGGCGATCTATCAATCATTTGACTAATAGTGTTTTGGTTTTTTTTACAAGTACATACTAGTAGAATTTAGTGATACTAAGATTAAGCTTCATTAACTTTTGGAGTTAAGATTTTTGAACAGTTATGCGTTGGAGGTATTAACAGCTACAATTTTCTCAGCACTGATTATACTTACATATACTCTTTATAACAGACCTGTATATAATGAATCTACTGCAGGCCTTTGAAGAATCTATTTGATAAACTAATAGGGAGAATGATAAACTAATAGTGGCAAGTAGTTCAGAGGATCTAATTTTTAATTCATTCTTTCCTCAAAGAGTAGCTATTTGAGATAAATACAAAGCCCTCATAGAATATGATGCTGGAAACTATGAGGAATATAAAATTGAATTCGTTAGAATATATATATGTATATATATTATTTATGCATACAGAACTGGGTACAGCCCAGAGATGCGGGGGGCGAGGTGGTGGTGAGAGGATTCACCAGAGACAGAGCAGGAAGAAGAACAGGCCAACTGACAAGTACACTGCTGAGGAGAGCAGCGGGTGAGAAGGCGAGATCCGCTGCACCTTATTGATCACCTCCCTGGCAGGAATCAAACTTGTGCTACAGTGGCTGCGGAGCTTCATTGTGCTGCGCTTCAACCCATTGCGCTACCAGGGAGGGCCAGAATATATATTTTTTTAAAGATATATTTTATTTATGCACACAAAACTGGGCTACAGGCCAGAGGTGGGGGATAGGAGGGTGAGAGGGTTCACCAGAGACAGAGCGAGTAGCAGAACAGGCAGCTCTAAGAAGTAAGTACACTGCTAAGGGGAGCAGCAGCCCGGTGCCACATAGGTCACCTCCCAGCTGGGGACTGAACATGCCCTGAAATGGCTGTGGCTAGCTTTGCAGTGCGGTGCTTTAGCCTGCTACACCACCAAGGAAGGCCCTCCTTTGGAATCTTTAAATAAAATAGGTAATCTAAACAAAAAAACATGCAGTTCTTAAAATACAAATTAATACTGTAAACACATTTAAATATTAACGCTATTAGTGAAGCAGGATATATGCTTTTCTTTTTTCTCTTTTAAATTGCCTTTGCCACAGGGAAGTACAAATGAGGTAAGTTAATTTTTTTTTTTAATTACGAGGTATATATTTGTAAACATCATATTATTATTATAAACCTAACTAGTCATTGAAATATGCCTCAAGGTAAATTTCTAGAAAATCTTTAGTGACTATTGACCTTACACTCTAGGATTTACGAGTTTTAATTGTGAATGTTAACATTGTTTTAAAATACTTAAGTATTTAATAAATCACGTGATTTAATCTGTATAAGAAACAGAAGACTTGATTGTCATGAGTTTTGCTTCCTGAATGTGTCAAAATTTTCAGAATTCTTATGCTCCAACATTGTGCCTTTTATTCTGCTGCAGAGTGAAGTAAGTATAGTTATAAATCTCAAGAAAATTCAACTCTACTGGAGGTACAACTTTTATAAGTTGTTTTTAACTTTGGCTTTTCAGTGACTGTTAATCTATAACACTTTAAGCATGCCAATATACAGTATGACTTTCTCAGACCTTACCTAGTAATTGGTGTTCATTTCTCCTACTGGACATGTGCAAAATTCTGTATCTGAGGAACAAATAGGAGCTGTTAGGAAGGAATCATTTGTTATACTAAGAAAAATGATCTCTATAAAGTCATTTTTAACTATTGTCTTTTAAGAAGCAAAGCAATTTTGAACTACAGAGAAAGCACATAATTCTTTACTAAGTTTCTATGATACATAGCTGAATTATGTCCTCTAGTCAAATACTAGTGGTATATTTAATAATTATAATTCAATAGGGAGTTATATAAAATTCAGTAAAACAAATCTGCCATAAAAGTCAACCAAGTTTCAACCTTGTAAAGGAAAAAAAAATCTAAGCGTTTAAGAGAACAGGGATTAAATTGACTGTGTCAATCAAAATATCGCAGAAGTAGGATAACTGCACATTGCACCAATGTGCATTCATAGAAATTAAGGTGATACCATTCAGACTTAAGAGTATCAAAACAAAATAGCTATATAGACTAACAAAAGATAAGTTAATGAAATTTCCTGGGAATCAATTACTATTTAAAGGATACTGCTTTCATTCAGCTTTTAAAAATATATATTTTTACATATTCCAGAATTATCTCAGATTAGTTAGTAAGCTGAATATTCAATATGTGAAAGTGAGAGGAGGGAGTGAATATCAGACACTGGCTGAAGGGGAAAAAAGAGACCATAAAAAATATGGATTTTTACATAAGCCGGTATGTAAAACAAAGAATAGCCATCGGTAGTTTTAATGTGGAAAGGCTTTCTGAGGTATGATTCTGAATAAGATCTTATAAGATAGAAACAATGAAAAAAGGCAAGTGCATGCTTAAATGAGGGATTCCAGTTTGGCAGAGGTAGGGCAACATACATGCTTAAGTGAAAGACCATGTCAGGAAACAATAGAGAATAAATGTGTTCGTAGTCTGGAAAACCTGTGAAGAAGCACTGATCACAAGTAGTCTAGCTATGTATATTTAAGTAGCCATTGGCAGTCAGAATTATGAGACCTTTAACTCCTCTAAAATTGATTAATGTTCACAATGTGACTTCTTAACCCACTCCTGGTAAATAGTGGTTAGGAAGTTTTGCTCCATGGAGGCTTATAAGATAAAAGGAAATACAAACTGAAAATAAAACATTTATCATGAAGATCCGTCCACAAATGCAGTAATATACACACATTGGAAAACTGAAAATATTTTTGAGTTCTAACACAGTGTTATTAAATTATATATCACATAGATTGATGATTCCAAACTTAGCATACTAAATTTTATAGTCTCATAAACTGCACTAAAAAGAAAAAATTGTATGTTTCACGTAAGGTTTCATAATCTCGATTCTTGTGTTTCTAGGCTTTATACAAACTTTACAGTGCAGCAGCCACCCACAGACATCTGTATCATCAAGCTTTTCCTGCACCAAAGTCAGAAACTACTGAACAATCAGAAAAGAAGAAAACTTAACCCAAATTTTAAAAAACACAGGTGCATGACCAATTGTCAGCTAAATATTCAGCTTTATGTCTCCATGCAAACATTCAAAGTGCTTCCATCAAAAACAGAGTAAAATTCCAAGCACCTCAAAAGACTGCAAAAATGGTTTAGTTCTTTTATTTCAGTGTTCAATAAGCAGATGTATGTATGCATGGTTATATTTGTTAACATGTACAGGTTACTGATTTTTATCTTTAAATATGCTATTATAATTTAAAATATTTATCTATTTATGATGACAGTTCATGTGTACTGCTTGAATTTATTAAATTCTGCTACTGGGTTACAATTAAACTGTATAGTGATACTACTCCACATTTGAATATGCTCATTTCATTTCTATAGAAGAATTTTTAATTTTTTCCTATATTTATTTATTTAAATATAGCATCATCATTCAACAGTCTTGATTATATGTATCACCTTACATACACAATGAGATTAGTAAGTTTTAAATACAGTTCAGAGAGATTTTCAGTTGCATCATCAAAAACTATATATTGCTTTTATAATAATACAGGATATAAACCTCTTGATTAAAAATGCATAAAAATACTTTGTATTTGTGTTTCACTGCACTGTATATTTTTTCATTTGGTACGCAAAGAAATGTATTCTTCATAGTTTTATTCTTTTAACATGTGAAATATTATTAAAGGTTACTCTGGTTCCTGATTAAAAAAAAATGCTTACTGGATTTGAAATGTTTGGGAGATATTGACATAGAGTGATGATGGCTTATTTCTTTATAAATTCAAATGCAGTTTCCTTAATTTTAATACCATTATAAATCTAGGTTTCCATTTTAAGAAATATGCTAATCCCATAAAGAGAAACTTCCAGTTCTTTTAAACCATCAATTTTATAATTTTAATTATAATTTCATTGAAGTATTTTGGAGATAAAAACATAATATAAAAGTGATGCACATTTTAAAGAAGTATGGTCATGAAAAAAGGAAAGTAATCCCTCTTATCTGGGGACGTCTAATGCAGAATAATTCCCAACTTTCTTAGAAAAGGCTAAGCTTTAATTAACTTAATGGTACCACAAAGGGGTAATAGGAAAGAATGATTAACATAGAAGAATGTGTGAAAGTTCACAAGTATGTAAGTGTATTTATTAGAAAAGTTCAATCATACGCCATGCAAAACAATTTCTCCCACTGAAAAAAATTCCATTAATTTACTATATTTTTCAATAACCTTTTCACTAACTGCTCTCTCTGCCCATGGGCCTTTTGAATAGAAAATCAAATATTTATAGTGTTATGCATGTATGTATGGATGGATTCACACAACACTTTTAGTTTCCACAAAAATATATTTAATAAGCTTGTTATATAAAAATCAAACATTTAACATTTTCAACATTTTATCAATGATTCAAATACATTGATATCTAACTGGGAGTGCTTTGCTTTGTGTTTTGAAAGATTACTGAATTAAAAATACATTTACATTATTTACAACACATGTAAATACATCTGAAGAGCTACTTCAACAAATGTGGAAATTCACAGAATTCTAGAGATTCATAGGCATAGAAGTCATCAGTTTTTCTGCAATCAAATGTACTTCAGTAATTATGAACACTGTTTTAACTCTTAAAGGAAAAAAATACGAAAGTTTTAAAGTTCTGTTATGATAAAAGGTAAGTAAAAATCAATTTAATGACTGAGTTTTCTTAATGAATCCCTTATTGTCAATTTTGGCAGCTCAAACCAAATTATTACAATGGTGCATGCTATCCTGTGGGAAATCCTCTACGGTCTCATCATAGCCATGCGTAAAAAAGCCCTGGCTGAAAGTAAGGAAATGATATTCACAATTTTGAGTGTTACACATACTTTTCCCACTGGGTTATTAGTTAAATCCTTAACCCTAAATTATTCCTGAACTATTACAGGCCTTTTACCTTTTCACACCAAAAATATTTTCACAATACATTTAAAAGTGCTTTTTATATTCTGGGGACAGGAGAATCCCATACATTTTATACAAAAATTTATCACAGTAAAGGTCCCAAATTCCATTGCATGTTTTGAACAACATAATGGTAATATTTAAACCAACTGATTCCAGACAATTTTTCATACAAGAGCAGCAAATCTAAAATACTGCATAAATTATCTTTCTCCTTTTAAAAGAAAGGTACTTCTAGTTTAAGAATTTACCAAGTGATCATTTCCTATTTTATACTTGTATATAATGATATTTCTTGCTGCATTTATCTCCACTAAGAATAGTCTAAGCAGTTTCCTAATATACAGTATTCGGAGATGTTTGCCATGACGGCTCTTGGAATGATAAACTAATATTTTTGCTCAATAAAAGATTATTTTTGATAACAAAATACATGTAAAATTAGCATTTTATAATTTCTAAGAAGTAAGCTGCCTTATTAACCGAAGTACTTGTTTGCAGTTTTTTTATATCTGTGAAAATATTAAAGCCCTTATATAACAAATTTTTAAAATTAACTTAAAAATTCTTTCCATGTTGCTGGGCATACCACTGCTGTCTCTGCTTGCGGTTTTCCAACTCTGTGAGAAGAGCCTGTCTGTAGGCTTCATACATTTTAACAATCTGTTCCAGTTCTTTCATGAAAAGCAACTTTAGCATTCCCTGGTATGTATCCAGGTCAGCCAGCTGGAAGAGTTCCCATTTCAGAATGTGGTCATATCTGTTTTGAAAGACAATTATATATCTGTTTACAACATATACATAAGTATGCATCTGTTAGTCTAGTTTTATAAATACCTACTTTTTATGAAAAATAATAAGCTTTATTAAAACTAAGTTATACACACTATCTTTTAGGGAAAGGAAAAAAACTGTTAATCTTAATTTCAGTTTAAGTTAAAAATATTCATTCTCTTAATCTTATCTTAACACTGGAAAACATGAACATATTTCAAACCATTGTGGTTCTATAATTTCTGAAGAGAAAAAAGCACTCAAAAACAATAATACATAAAAATGGACAAGATTGTGTCACTGTTGTTTATTATAGCAGACAAGAAACTAAACAAAGAATGGGCTGAGTTTTCCCAAAGCTGAGTATGTAGGCAGTTGACCCGTGAACACTATTGGGGATCTGAGGCATAAACCCACACAGAGTGGAAAGTCCACATATAACTTTTGACTCCTCCAATACTTAACGGTATCAGTCATCCTGTGCTATCTGTGGGAAAATGGTTTCAGGACCATCCCCCACAAAATTTATGGATGCTTGTTTCTTACACATGGCTATCCATAGTCATGGGTTCCACATCCACAGCTTTTAACCAACCAACATCTACGGCTGGTTGGTTGAATCAACAAATGTGGAACCTCTAGATAGAAAAAAATAATTTCATGTAAGTAGAATTGTGTGGTTTAAACTTGTTTTGTTCAAGTATCAACTGTATTTTAAGAAAAACACACACACACAAACTGAAGTAGAAAGTAGAATAAAAGTTCTTTTCAAAATGAGGGGACAGATTGTAAAAGACTCCAAAATGTGGGGAAAGAACTCTTGTATTATATACATAACTCAGAAAGCTTTTGGTCCTTCTTCAATGGTAAATATATCGCATTATAATGTGAAAATAATGCAACAAGCTTCTGAAGTACAAATTTATATTCTGAACTGAAAGAAACCTAAAGACAGCACTCTAATTTTCTCATTTTAGAAATGAAAAACTGAAATCTGAACAGGCTATACTATCTCTCTAGTCTTGTTTAATGACTAAAAGATTAGAAAGGCAAAGAACTAGGCACCAAGATGTTTCAGAGTAACAGTTTTGAATATTATTATCTAAAAACTAGACAAAGGATTTGAATTATAGCAAGGCATACACCTATGTGATACAGAAGTCAAACTTCTCTGATCATAAGTTTTGTATTACATAAATTACAGAAGTTTTGTATTACGTAAATTTACATAAGTTTTGTGTTACATAAATTACATAAATACATGTTTTGTATTACATAAATTAGATGTTACAAGAAAAATTCAGAGCCTCCACGAAGAAATAGTTCTACAGTATTTGCCAGATTCTCTGCTGTTCATATAGTTTCAGATTTTACTTTTTGTTTGAGACATATTTACAATTCCTAAGAAAAAGTCTTAATCTTCTTAATCAGAATTCCACAGCTTCATGGCATTTCAACAATGTTTACTGAGTAAAGGTGCTTCAGTTTACAATGGGGAACAATAAGAAAGTTAAAGCTCATCTGTGTACTTTTTAACAAGGAAAAAGAATAAGTTGATAATTATCTTATTTTTTTAATGCATGCATATCATTCTTTACAAGCATTTAAGTATAAAAATTTTTAAATTTCCTGACTTCCCAATAGCACCAAAAGAATAGGATTATGGGTAGAAGCAACAAAATTAGAGAATCTTTTAAGAAGGAAAAAAGCACACTAACAAAAGCAATGCACTTTCACTCCCCAAATATTTGCTCCTAAAGCTTCTATATAGTTCTTCCCATCTGCCTAACACATCTAAGTATACCTGTTTTTGTTGTTGTTAAGTTTACAATTCTGTTCTTCCCTTCTTAATTAGTCAAACAATCTGCTTGTGAAGTTTAACTTTCAGCCACTTACACTTTTATTTATACAGACAAATCATTTGGAAAATGGGTTGTAAACTACTCATAGCCTAGAGTTAAAGCATCTCTTTTATTCTGCTTTTCCTAGGGAATTATTCTATTGAAACACTACTCATTAACAACTCACATCCACTAACAGCAACTGCTGTAATGCTGTCAAAAGATCCTGATTGTACCCTGTCTTAACAAGTGAAAAGTGCTGCTATTCCAGCTCCAGGAACCATAATATGTTTACATCTAAACCCTATAATATTGTGTCCACTCTTCCTTTTTACCTATACCCGTAACTGGGAAAATGGGAACACTAGGAGATTATCAAGTCATATGAATACAAATCTAAGTCATATTAATATAAATATATGTGTGTGTGCTGGTTAGTGGAAAGTAAATACAGTGCTGATGGTCATTTTTCTATTAAAAATTAGACTTTACAATTTTATCTTATAGCTTGCTTTTATTAATTATATGATATATTAAAGATTTGTGAGCAAACTTAGAAAGATAATTTAAATAAAATTAATAATTATTTAGAAAAATCTGGATGCATTTACAAATTTTTTTTCACTAAGTTACTATGAAAGAATTAAAGAATTTCAGAAGCTAGATGGGTCTCGATTGTTCAACAAAAGGAAGAAATCAGTATTGGGGTTAAATTTTCTCTTTTTAAAGAGAGAAATAACTAATTATTGAATTCATAGATAACAGCTTATCCTATATTGATAGTTAACTATTTATTAACCATTTCCACACTCTTAAGAGACAAAAATTTAGAATCAACCCAAAAGCAACTATGTTTTACAGTTAGCACACAGAGTTGAAAGGGACTATAATCTCTGGGAGTCTGTTTCTTTTCATAAAGAGCCAGGAATTCATTTTAAGTGCTACCGTTTTACCCTCTCAAAAGAAAGTTCATAATGCTATTTCTAATAATGATTATAAAGTAGGAGTTAAATAAAGTAGAAGAAATAGTCCTCCTCAATCTTACCAACTTTCAGAAATAACAGATGGACACATATTCTTCATATGAGTACAGGTTATATGCAGCAGTAGGTTAAGTAGTATCAAGAATGAAAGGGGGAAGAAGGGAGCTATCATTCCTTAACCCAGTCCCATACTATATGGATATTACAAGATAAAGGGGCTTCTATAGATTAGCCCCAACACTAAATCATGATAAGCTTCTATGAATAAATATGTACACCTAATTTTAATTATACTAAAACCAAACTTTTTTTTTTTTT